CACCACCAGAGCAGTCACCACCCCAGATCAGTGAGCAGCCGGATCCCTCTGGCACAGGAGCAGCTCTGCCACAGCCCTGGCCTCCAGCACACTGACCCTGCACGATGTCATCCTGGCGCTGCAGCGGGGGCCTGGCCGGCCGGGGCAGTTCCCGTTCCGGGGGCCGAGCCCCGGGGCTGTCGCTGCAGGAATGGGGCAGGGTCCCCGCGTGGACCTGCCGGAGCTGCTCGAAGTCGCTCAGCGCCGCGCTCAGGTCCCAGTTCTTGCCTGGAGGGCAAAGAAGCAGCACTGGTCACCCTCACCCAGCACACACAGCCAAACCCACAACTCTCCCAAATTCACCCGCCGGGGTGATGCTGGGCTCCCAAAATTCCAGGGCAAATACTGGGGGTTTGATGAGGAAAAGCTACAGATGGATGCTGTCCATTGCCTGAAGACCTGGATTCTGGCACCAGTTTCAGGGCTTTGAATTCATTCCCACCAGGAATCCCAGCTGGGAGTTGGTGCAGATGCTGCAGGAGCAGCAGCTGGTCCGGCCTTCCAGCAACAACAAAAATGAGCTGAATGATACAAAGAAGCAATGATGGAAAAAATTCAGCCAGTGGAGCCTGGCACTCTAATTCCAGCTGGGATAATTMCACACACACAGTGTCTCTGTCATCCAGCATTCCCAGGATTGACTCATCCCTTGAGCCAAGATGAACCCAAAGGCAATGCCCATGAGTACCTTAACAGCCCCAAAACTGAGCTGAGCTCTTTCCTCCTCCACCCTCTCCACCAGTGGGAGCACAGAAAGAAAGGGATCACCTGCAGCCTCCACTAAACAAGATCACAAATGATCCCTCCTTTTGGGAGGCAGCGYTGTTGGAAAGAATTAAAATCCTAAMGTTTTTGAAGGCATTGCTGCTAAAAAAGAAAAACCTTACGTTTTTTTACAGTGTTGCTGCTAAAAGGGAAAAATCCTTAATTTTTTTAAGGCACTGCTAACACAAAGAAAAAAATCCTTCAGTTCTGCTGCTCATGGCAACCAACAGAGAGGATGGAGAAAGAGAACCCACATTCCTGGCTGCTGCCTTCTCCTTCCCCATGTCCACAATCCATCACCTGATGGATGTACAAGGAAAAACTGAGGCAGAATGTCCCCMGGGCAGGATTTTCCTATCCCAGCTCCCCACCATTCACCCTGGGCATTCCCATGATGATTCTCAGCTTTCCATACCTTCAAGGAGGTCTCTGGCCAGCCCAGGCTCTGCCCCCGTTGAGCGAACAAAGTCGGACAGGACGATGTCCATAGCCGAGGATGGAGTCAGCGGCACCCGAGCGGCTCCTCAGCATCAACCTGGGAATGACACCACAGCACCCGTGGAACATTCCCAGCACACGGATCCCAGGCTGGGAATGGCCCCAGGGGCACGTAAACCTCCCCGCTCAAATTAACTGTGCTCCAGGATTGCCAGTTCATTCCTGGCAAGTGGGAGAGCAAAACCCACTCTGCTGTAACCAACAACGGCATTTACTTGGAAAATCCGTGAACTAAACCAAATTCCCATCTCAAAGGTGGTGGAGCTTTTCTTTCCAAATACAGGAATAAGGAACTGGGAATAAATAATACAAGTAATGAATATTTGGGAGCAGTGATAAAGCAGAAAGTTTCTCTTGTACATTTACAGGGAGCAAATCCCTGTCCCATCTCACTCCGAGCATCCCAGCTGTGAGCCAAGGGAAGAGAAGCAAAGACAAAATGTTAGAATTAGGAAATGTGTCCTAAGAAAAATACATTTTAAAARGCCCCTTCCAGACACAAAACCAAACCAAAACAAAAAWTCCCAATTGCTCTTGCAGGYAMAATCAGTRTCCAGACAGAGAGCTCCTTCCYACTCCAGAGCCCCTTCCCAGCTCCYTCRRCACCAGGRCTCCTTCTCAGGAGACAAAACCAAATATCTCTTCTGTAAATCTGGATTCTGTCAGGTTCTGCGGAAGGCGTGTGCTCCTGCCATGCCTCCAAATCCTGATTTTCCGCATTCCTCGGGGCAGAGAAGGAAAGGGARAGCAGCCTCATCCGTGGGAGTCTGGATGGGATAAGCGTTCCATGGAAGTTGGTGCTTTGCAGCTGAAGGCTGGGATAAAAATTCTGCCATCAAGGACCAGAAAAGAATGGGAAAACWATTTATCTGGAGCTGAAAATTTGGAAGAAAAGGGGAAAAAACTGGGAAGGTTGGGGGAGGGAGGTGTTAGTGTATTGGGCATAAAAGAGGAAATTTCATGATTGTGTGGAATATGAACAAACCTGGTTGCTTTCCTGGTGCCTGGGAAAAATAGTCTCTTTTTCTCTAAAATGGGCAAAACATGTCTGGTGCCTTATAATGGGTTTTTTTTCCCCAGATTATCCCTAAAGGTGGGTGAAATTCCCTAAAAGCACAAAACTCCTCACGAGCAACCARTACATCCAGTCTTTAATCTGGAATTCCTTGGTTTTGCTGGAGAAATACCATTCCCACTCCTCAAATGGTGTCATTAATTTCTGCTCCCAGAACTCCTCCATATTCCTTCACCACTGGAGCAATCCAGGACCTGCGTCGGAAGAAGCGGTGCCAGAACCCAGCACATTCCGGGAGCAGCATCTGGCAGTGATTCCTGCTCTGGCTCCACCAATTTAGGGAACATCCCTAATTAGGAGCCGCACGTTTGGATCCTCTMATCCCTGGCAAGAGCTGCAGGAACCAGGAGCAGTTCCAGGATGAAACTGGCTGTGCCAATGGACACGATTTCCTCCAGGTGGGTGTGGAATTCCAATGCAAATGAAAGCTCAGTGAAGGCAGCGGTACTTTGGGGAGGGAAGGAGCAGAAATCCCACCCCCATCCACGGCATTCCGAACTCCTGCGCACACAAAAATGCCAGGGAAAWCACAGATGGAAAACGCTGGGTCCCGCGAGGATTGTTGGAGATTTATCAAGGACTCGGACGAAGAAATGTGCCCACCCCAGAGTTATGATTTCCTTTCCCTGTGGAAGGGAAATGCTCTCTCCTCTTCSCTTGTTCCAGAGCTGGAAATACGAGCCCAGGTGGGAAATCCAAGCCCCAGGAGATCCACAACTTCCAATGCMTCCCCCAGCAATGAACAGGTGCTGAGCACACACCAAAGCCCCTGGCAGAGCTCGGGGATGGAGCACAGCTGGATGCAATCCAAAGTGAGGGTTCTGGCACATTCCAATCACAAATGTGTGGAAAACACGTATTTAGGATGGCTGTTCCTGTGATCTCAGCGATACCAACAGCTCTTTGCAGAACACACCAGCAGGATTTTCAGCAAATATTTAACAAATATCCCCCCCATTCCGCAGGGGCTGAGCACAGCAATGTTCCTGACGGATGTGAGGAGTTATCACCCATGCTGGAGCCACACCTCGCTCAGAGCAGAAGGAGCTGGAGCTTCACATGAACAGCATTCCATGGTCACACACCCTGGGAACCACTGAAAGCTCCATCCCAATGCAGCACAGAGCAACACTAACCAACACCAACAGCAGCTTTCAGCCTCCCAGAGAGCAGCAATCTGCCCAGCATTCCATGGTCACACAACCCGGGAACCACTGAAAGCTCCATCCCAACGCAGCACAGAGCAACACTAACCAACACTAACAGCAGCTTTCAGCCTCTCACAGAGCAGCAATCTGCCCAGCAATCCATGGTCACACAGCCTGAAAGCTCCATCCCAACGCAGCACAGAGCCACCCAACACCAACAGCAGCATTCAGCCTGTCACAGAGCAGCAATCTGCCCGGCTCTGCCTCTGGGAACGGGGCAAAGCTGGGTTTAGTCAATCCTGGCAGTCTGACAATCCTTCCTAACGGGAATTCAGAGCTTTAACATCAAATGTCCATTCAAAATAAGGGGAAAGTCATGAAATCCCTGGAGCCTCTTCTCTCTCACCACCTACACTCTCCCAGGGCAGCTCCAATGGTCCCAGGCCAGGTTTGGGCAGGGACTCACCAGCAGCATCCTGGCCCTGGCAGGACTGCACCCCTGCCCCGAAATAYTGGGGAAATTGGGAAACTGAGGGGGGAATTCAAGAGAACACATGGTCCAAGAGCTCAATGTCTCTCAGCTCCAGAGGGGAAATAAATCATCTGAAACAGTGAACTAAAGCACTTCACCAGAACCAATTGTGAAGCAGCAAAACTAGATCCATTCAAAGCTCCAGACTGGAACTTACGGGGCTTTAATTCCCTTATTTTGTTAGATTTCAATCATGCTGCAAAAACAGGAAATAAATCTCTTTGTAAGGGCCAAATCCTGACCCAAGGCCGGCTACAACTGGTGGTTCCAGCGTGTTTATAAAGGTACTTCCAGAAATATTTTAGGAGCAGCAAAGTCTGACGTCTCTCCCCCGGATCTGCCACGTGATGTTTTGCTGAGGGCAGGAACCAAGCTGGGAGCCAGGACTGCACTCCAGGGCTCTGCTCTCAGCCCAGCCCCTCTGCCACACCGAGTCCCCACAGGGACACAGGGAACCCCAGGCCAGACCCCAGAGCCCCCAGGCACCTGCAGGAGGTGCCCAAATCTATGGGAGATTTAATCCTGCCAGACCCACATACGTTTTTGCTCCCACCATCGAGGAGCTGCAGGAGCTGAGCAGCAAACAAGCACACACCAAAGCCCTAAACCCCAAATCCTCCAGGACCCTGGAATCTGGCAGCACTCAGGGCTAAGCAGGGGGGTCCCAAGGGGAAAGGCCACGCTAGGACCCACAGGAGGAACATGGGAACAGCKCTGACCTGAGCCCTACTGGAGCAAGGATGAGAAAAATCAGCTTCTCCATGAAGCCCTGATGCTCCTGCAGGTTTCTGGCTTCCCTACGTTCCCCAGCACAGTGGGGACTGTCTCCATCCCATCCCATATCCCATCCCATNATCCCATCCCATGGATCCCATCCCATCCCATCCCATGGATCCCATCCCATGGATCCCATCCCATGGATCCCATCCCATGGATCCCATCCCACATCCCATCCCACATCCCAGTCCTGGCTCAGCAGTTATCTAACGCTGCCGGAACAGCGCTCGCCGTGCTGGGATTAACCCCACCTGTCCTGACCTGACACCGTGCTCTGGTCACTAAGCTGCGTCCAGAAGGGCTGCACAGGACACAGAGCATGCAGCTCCTGCCTCTTCCAGGATGGAAATGGACCCACATCACCATCACCATCATGAATACCATCATCATCATCACCATCACCATCATCACCACCATCATCATCATCATCATCATCATCACCATCACCATCACCAGCACAAACCAGATATTCCAGATAAAACTGCTGCTGCAGGACACCCTGAGAGCACTCAGCCCCTCAGCCCAGAGGAGGCTGCTGTGAGTGCAGAAGGAAATCAGTCTGAGAGGGAAGGACAGATGGGACAGGCAGCCGTGGCTGTGCTGGATGTGGCTCTGTGGTCACACCTCATCCTGGGTAAGAGCAGCTCTCCAGGATTTCCCATCCTCGGAACTGCAGGCTTGGGAACCTCTGGCAGGGTTTTAGCACGATTCTAAAAGACAGGACAACTGAGCTTTTCCAGCAGGGAAATGGGGTTCCTAAAACCATACTGGTGCTCAGGAGCTGGAGCAGGAGCGAAGCGACAGTTATGGAAATCATTCCATTTTTATAAGGCTTCAACACTTCCAGTAACAGCTTTATCCCATTTTCCAGAGCTCAAACTGCTTCCCAGGGCTCCAGACACAGCTGGGCTCCTCCCAACACCCCRGTCATCCAGAAACTGGGCTTGAAGAACACACCAGAATGACATGTCCAGYACAGATAAAAGCCAAGAAAGTCTCCAACACAAATGCAGCAGCTCCATCAAATCCAGGCTCTATCCCATAATCATTAYGCCTCCTAGTTATCAATTCTCCTCACTCCCAAAATTATAGGATTCTCTAATGAAGCACTSACAATACACTCAGCTCTCTGGGTGTCTGCACCAGAGAAATGCCCTTTGAGCCAAGCTCTCCTAAAGCAGGCCGTGACTATTTCCAGCCTGATCCCGGTTCTCTGGGAGAGCCCAGCACACGCTGTTCTTGCCTGAATCCCAGGGGATGCTCCMAGTGGCCCCTCTGCAATCGAGGCCACGGCAGCTTCACCACCAGTTCCGCTCATTTGCTTCCCAAAACGCTGCAATTCAGTGCTCCCCACACAAGGAAAATCCATTTGGAGTCATTTGCAGGGATGAATTTCGGGTGTAACTCAGGACTGTGAGAGCTGAGGCACTGACTGAGAACCAGAGCATCTCCCAGCACTCACCCATGGACAGCAGAGCCACATCCCGTCACCGAGTGGCACAGATTCACCACAAACACAACAAATGACAGCAGAAAAGCCAACCAACCAATACCGAGGCACGGCAAGAACAGAGTTYGGAATTTTAAGCAATTTGGGCACACAGCTCCTCTTCCCCTGCCATGCTCCACGCTGGTGGGATTGGGATACTCCAATCCCTCCCACAGCAGGGGCTGGCAGGGTCTGACACCTGAACTGGGGATTCTGGATCCGTGGCCAGGATGTTCCCAGCTCCATACCCTAAAAGCTGCCCCTTCAGACACATCCATGGCCAGGATATTCCCACTGTGTATCCTACAGCTGCCCCTCCAGACACATCCAGCACTGCATCCATGGCCAGGATATTTCCAGCTCTGTATCCTACAGCAGCCCCTCCAGACACATCCAGCGCTGCCTCCACACCCTCTGCCCCTCAGAGGTTTCTCTCTTTAGCACAAAACCATCTTTAAGTAGCTCAAACATCCCATTTCCCAAGAAACAACC